TTGCATGGCAAGGTGGGATGTCCTGACAGGCAGTACTGGAAGAAGAATGAGGAGGAGTTACTCAGGACCTTTCAGAACATGACCCTTCCCTGTGTGCTGGGCACTGCTGAAGCCACACCTTGAATGCTGCGTCAGCTCTGGGCCCCTCACTGCAAGGACATTGAGGGGCTGGAGGGTGATCAGGGAACAGAGCTGGGGAAGGGGCTGGAGCACCAGGAGGGGCTGAGGGAGCTGGGAAAGGGGCTCAGCCTGGCGAAAAGGAGGCTCGGGGGGACCTTGTGGCTCTGCACAGCTCCCTGGCAGAAGGGGACAGCCAGGGGGGTCAGGCTCTGCTCCCAGGGAACAGGGACAGGAGGAGAGGGAATGGCCTCAAATTGTGCCAGGGCAGGTTCAGGTTGGACACCAGGAGGAATTTCTTCATGGAAAGGGGGGACAGGCAGTGGGAGGGGCTGCCCAGGCAGGTTTGGAGTCCCCATCCCTGGAGGTGTCCAAGCAATGACTGGAGGTGGCACTCAGTGACAAGGTGGGGTCAGTCACAGGTTGGACTCGATCGTGGAGGCCTTTTCCAACCTCAGTGATTCTGTGAACGGAGTTCACAAATTGTCTTTCCCCCCTTGTTTTTAAACACAGTTCCTTACACAACAAACTAAAACATGATTTCCCATCAATCTGTGTCCCACAGCTGTGTGTGTTCACTGAGATTTCCCCAAGTCAGGGTATTAAGGAGCAGATTTTCTTCAGACAGTTTTTCTGATCCCAAGGGTTGAGTGGATGGCAAAGCTTTTCTCTCTGGTTTAGGACACATGCAGAATATTCTTTTTTTCTTGCAATCACCTATTTTCCCCAAAAAGCCAGGAAATCTGCTTCTTCCAAACTCAGCCCTCCTGGCCAAACTAGAAAATTTGAAAACGACTCGAGGTGGACAGGGAGGCAGAGAAGCCCTGCAGGAACACAAGTTTTTATGTCGGTAAGAAACCTGCCCCAACACCCCCTGCACAGGGGCAGCAGCTGTGGGGCAAGTTCTCACCTGCTTTTTGTCTCGCTAAACACAAACAGGAAGCAGGAGGGACTGCGCAGCCCCACCTGAATGGAAGCGTTTGTGTATCCAAATCCCAAAGGCTTTGCAGGCTTAATGAGGCGGCGAGCAGGTGATGCAGGGGGCACTTGAGCATCACTGAGATGCAGCCACCTCCTGTCCGCGGTGACAAACATTTCACCAGGCGCGGAGCTTCGAGGGACAGCACAACACAAAGGTCGGGTTTAAACGCGGGATTAGAGACAAAGGTCTGAGCAGAGCGCGGCCGCCTCTGCGGGAAGGTCCCTCTGCTCCGAGCAGGGAATTTTGCATCTCCACTCTCCCCAGTGTGGGATCTGGCAGCGCAGCCACGCTCAGCTGCTCAAACTGGAGCTTTTAAACTCCAGTTTTTGTCAATGGAGATGAAAAATCTAACCTGTTTGGCCGTGCACTGCACTAAAAACAGACTCGGTCTTTTTCTAAGTCATTTATCCCTTAAGCTTGTGTTCTATACTTCCCTCTACCAAGTAGGAAAAAAGGGAGATGAATAATTTCATTTTCTACCTCTGCTCACAATAATGTTAACACAGGACTGCAACTGTCTGGATTAACAGCCCTCAAGAAATCTATTTACATGCATTCCTCAAAAACCTGCTTTAAACTGTATTTAAATAGTAAAACCGACTAAGCCTCAAATATTAAATTTAAAATATCACAGAGAGTTTTGTTTTAAATTCACAAAGCCTTAATTATTAAGGGGTTACAGCACATTTTGTCTTTCTTTTAGTAAAGTTTAAAATAATATGTAAAGCCAGGGAGTGAGGTGAAGGAGTGAGGAATTCACTTGGTTTATTCACAAATGTAACACTCTCACGTGAAATTAAGTTCTCACCAGACCAGAACTTTGACAAATGAAGCTATAAATTGAAGTAAATAGAAAGAAATGAAGGGAAAAATAAGTTCTATTTTTGTGGCTTTTAAACTATTGGTAATTAAAAAAGGCAATGAAATATCACCACTTTTATCAGTAAAATATTTTCTTGCCTTTTTTTGTAATCATGAGTGGTATCACAACCCTGACATCTATGACCTAACTGGAAAATCTTCCTTTTTTCCTTCTTTAAAAGCAGCTAAAATCATCTCTCCCCGTGGCTGTCATATTGAGGTAAATGGATTCCTGGGAGTCAATGGATTCTTTCTACCAAATTCAAACAAAGTGACAGAAAAATAAAAAAGGCAATTTGTATTTTCTATCCAGCTGTTGGCACAGGTGACATTGCTGGGCCTGCACCTCTGTTAGAATTTTGGATTAGGAATCCAGGAATAGGAGTGTTTGCACTATGTGTGTCTCTACACTTTATAAATGTGATCATTTCCACACAGTTTATTCTTGTTACTGTTTAAAACACATCCAGAGCTTTCACTCATGTTCCTGGCTGGACTAAAATGAAGTTTTTTATTCCAAGATTTGCTTGATTCCCTTATGGCTAAAGGCTGGCGCAGCCAACACACAAAGGTGCCTCATCTCCTAACTCCAAAAATCATGTAAAAAATTACACAAAACACACAAAAGGCATAAATGTGCTCAGCTCACAGCTCTCCTGGCAGGACTGCAAATTGTATTTGGCAGTGGGGCACAAGTTGAGGGGTTCATTCCAGATGCTCAGGGCCTGGGAGAGGCAGGTTCCCCACAGACACCCCATTCCATGGAGGGCAGGGAGATGGTGGCTCAAACTTGCACCTCCAAACCATTCAGAGTTGTGCAGGTTAAAGGCAGAGCTTGGAATTCCAAGGGAAGCCAACAAATCCTGCAGTGCATTCCTCCAGTATTAGTATCACATGCCAGCTTAAAATCTGGGGGGAAATGAGCACTGAGGCTTGCCTGAGTGAAAGCACATTGGAGTTTGTGGCAGTCTGAGGTTTTCACTGGATTCTGAAGCAGACCTGGAGTCAGAATTTCAGAGTGGTTTGGGTTGGAAGGGACCTTGAAGCTCATCTTATCCCAACCCCTCTGCCATGGACAGGGAATATTCCATTAGTCCCTCACCTCAACCCTGTTCTTCCAAATTCAACCCAAATCTGTGAGAAAAGAGGATAAAAAGCATCTGACCCCTCTCCTTACAACCCCAAATCCAGACACATCTCCAGAGAAATATAAGGTGAAGAATCTCATAATTCTCAGTACCTGAATTTAAAAACAGATCTGAACATGCTCCACTACAGACTCCAGACAGTTTCTATTTCCCTTCTCTCTGTCCCTAACTCTAAACATTAAAAGAGCTCTGCATTTCCACTGGGGTCTTCAAATAAAGATTTTCCAGTTTGCTTTTCCCCACTGAATTCTATCAGCCTCTTCAATCACACCCAGAAGTATTTGACTTAGCAGTGTTTGTCCCACTGGAAATATTCATCCCTGCACAGATCCTTATCACAAAGGTAAGATTAAGCAGGATCAAGCTCCTTGACCACCTGCCTCTTAATTGTACACACTTCCATAGAGAGTAGTTTTCTAAGTGTTAAAACTGCACATTTGTTTCTATGAAGCTTTGTTATAACACACTGCTCAGTCTCAAAACCAAGGGACAATCTTAAATTGAATAATGGTGTCACTTCAGATTAAATAAATCAAATATTATGCTCAGGTGTGTTGAAAACTGCTTGGGTTTTCACCTCCAGACCAAGAACTGCAGCACATTATGGGAAACTGAAATTTTTCCTGGAAAACAAAGCAGCTCCTGAATCCAAGGTCTCCAGGAAAGTGAAACAGTTCAAGAGACGAGACCAATATCATGGGTCATGTACTTTCTGACAGAAGACTGTAATATCAGAACCAAAACCCCTATCAGAAGCAAGGTGCACCCTTGGCAAAGCTGTTCCAGGCTGATTTTTTGTTGTTGTTGTTGTTATCATCTCCCTGTATTATCACACTACAGATAGGAAACGTCTTTATCACAAACCACGGGCATTTATTCACGTTCCTTGCAGTCCAGCAGAAGCCACACGTGCAGGGGGACAGTTCCACGCCAGACTCATGTTAAGGGCTAGGAAGGCTGAGAAACATTTTCCCCTCTTCCTCCTCCAGAATCCTACTAAGATTTGATCCCATCCAACACCTCAAACACGAGTAACCACCTCTCCCCTTACCCGGCCCATTCAGGGCCGACCCCCGCCTTCCCCCACACCTCAGGGCCGACCCCTCAGCCCCTCCCCGCCCCACTATCACCCCCTTATCCCTCAATCACCCCCTTATCGCTGAGCCCCCCCCCCCCTCCAACTCCCTCAGCATCTCCTGACCCCTCTTTTCCCTCAGGCCCCCCTCCAGCGCCTCAGTTTCCCCTCACGCCCGGCGAGGCTGAGACTGCGCAGCCCGGAGGGGACCTCGGGAGCTCTCCTGCCACCGAGGGAAGGCCGATCCCCCTCCCCACCCTCATGGCCACCCTCCCAGGGCACTCACCAGCTTCATCGCGTCCCCCGGTTCTATTTACCGGGACAATCCTACCCCCTTCCTGCCCGCCCCGCCGCGCCCCGGGGCATCATGGGCGTTGTAGTCCCCCCTCCCCTCCGCCCTAGATAACGTCATGGCCGCCCGATGCGTGCCGGGAGCTGTAGTCCGCCCCGAGTGCAGCCCCGCCGCCCCATTGGCGCGCCGCGTGCCCGCGGCACGCTGGGAGTTGTAGTCCTGGCGCCGCGGGTCTCCCCGTCACCCTGGGGAGGGGGGAACTACAAGTCCCAGGGTCTCACAGCTGCAGCAGGTGGGGGTTCGGATGTTGATATCAACATGGCGCTTGTCAGACAGACAAAGACAGTCGGTCTGGTGTGATTGAGCCAAAAAAAAAAAAGCCCAAAAAAAAAAAGAGAGGGAGCGGGCGAGGAGGAGGGAGCGGCAGGAGGAGCGCCAGGCGGGGAGGGGGCTGTGTCCTCGGGGGGCGTGGGGGGGCTGAGGGATTTCCTCCCCCCTATTGTTCTCGTCCCTCCGCGCCCCCCGTTAATCTCCCCTCAATCTGGGGCGGGGGTGGGCGGGGGGACCCCCCCAGTCCCGCCGGTCCATGGTGAGGCGGAGGCGCCGGCAGCACCCAGAGGTGAGTGTCGAGGGGGGATACGGGGGGGGGAGCGGCGGCGGCGGCGAGGGGAGGGGGCGGGCGGGTGGGTGGGCTGGAGGGAGGGAGGGCAGCGGGAAGGGGTCCCCCCACCGCCGGCACCGCCGAGAGTCGCTCCGAGCCGGAGAGCGGAATGTGCGTGAGGGGGGCAGCCGGGGGCGGGCAAGGGTGGGCAGGGGCAGCCCCTCAGCACGGGCGGCAGAGTTGGAGCCGCGGCTTTGGGGGGCTCCGCGGGTGCCCCGGATCGGGGGAGGAGGAGGAAGAGGAGGAAGGTGTCCCCGGGAAGCTGCAGCGGGAGGGCAGGGCACCTTTGGGGTTCGCTGTTCCTGCCATTTGTGTATTTATTCTGATTCCTTCCATCTCCCGGGTGTGGGGCACGGAGTGGCGGTCGCGGAGCCCCCTCAGCCTGGGTGGGTACTGCGGTTTGGGGTGTTCGGGTGTTGCTCGCCGCGGAGTTTTGGGGTGGGCTGGTGCGACCCCCGGCGCTCCCCGTCCCGGGGACCCCCGGGCACGGCGGGGGAAGGAGGGAGGCTCCGACCTGCGGAGATGAAGCTGGGTACGGAGCCCCCTCGCTCTGCCGGGGAGCTTTACCCTGACTGGGTCTGTGCGAGGGCTCCGGGGGCTCCTTTTCGGGAGCTTTGTGCCGCTGGAGGTCGGGGAATGGGGCTCAGGGGTGCCCCGAATCCCTCCGGCTCTCACATCTCTCTGGCACCTCCCGGGGCTTCGGGAGGTTTTCGGGGAGGGCACAGGCGTGAAAGCCCCGAAGGGTGTCGGTGTGCCGGAGAGTTTAACGTGGGGACGGGTGGGGGAGGAGGAGGACCCGGAGGGAAGTCATTCCCAAAATGTGCGAGGAGAACTTGGGTGGGGTGTCAGACGTCTGTTTGTTTTGTACTTCTTGGGAAGAGGTGGGTGAATGCTTTCGTGTCCCGTGTCCGGGATGGTTTTGGGTCAGAACGGTTTGACCGCAGGAGCGGTCGGGGGAAGCGGCAGGACATTCTTCCGGAGTGTTTGCCTCAGCTTCGGGCTTAAAACAAAACAAGATGCGAGTGTGTTTAGGTGCAGAATACACATCCGAGCCAGACCCCGCCGAGTTCCTCGACCTCAGTTTTGTCTGATGGGTTCTCTCCTTTCTTTCTTTTTTTTTTTCCCTAGTTGGTGGAGTGTCTCTTGGTATGTTTGCAGAGCACTTCTTCGGAAGCATTTTGTTCTTTGCGATAGGTCTGGAAAAGGCTCGGTTGGACGTGCTGTTTTTTCCCCAGTTCTTTCGTGTTAGGGACAAAAAAAAATTGCTGTTTTGGGGGGTGGGGAAGGAAGAAGGAAGAGGAAATGAAGGTTTAAGCATGTTCGTGGAGTCGGGTCTGTCTCAGTTTGTTCAGGTAACACTGGGAGCGTGATTCGGTGGCTTTTTAGTACAAAACGTTCGTGAACAAAAAACTGGGGAGATTTAAAGTTTGTAGGGAGGAAAGCGTTAAAGTGATGGCCAGGGAACGCGGATCTGGGAGACGCTACCTACGGCTCCCTGCTTCAAACTAGTGGGGATGGAGGGAAGGAAAAAAAAAGAAAACGCTGGGGAAAAATAGCCCTACAATTTGCATGAGTGATGCCATGTAAAATACCGGAGCGAGGAATTGTGCTCTGCAGACGCTTTGTGGGCTGGCGAAAGCCTGAAGTGCCTGCTCGGGTCCCGTGATATGACTCGCTCATTTCTGCAGGGCTCATCAGGTACAGGCTCTGCTTCCTTCCTGGGATGGTGCAGCTGGCATTTGATTTCCTCCATGGATGGGAGAGGAGGAGTCCTGTGCAGTTTTTTTCCCCGAGATGATTGCATTTTCTTTGGCCTTGCTGTACCCTGCCTCATTAGTAGGAACTGCATCTATACTTATTTACCATTATACCGTGTCCCTTGGGAAGCGGGGTGTAGTTTGGAGTAGGTATATATGGATTTATCACTCCTAACATTTTTTTTTCCTCCCATCGTGCCATCAACAGCAGAGAACAAACTTAATTTATTTCTGTGTTTTACATCTCCCTTTTTACCATTTTTCTTCCAAATTGCTAAGAAAACATCTCTGAGATGGAGAGAGGGGAGAAGGAAGAAAGGGATGGAAAATATTGTCTGTGCAGGGATGCATTTGTTATCTGCATGTGTGGGGAAGGGCAGGGTTTGTTTCTGCATGTGAAAACTGGGATTTGGGAATGTTCTTTTCCCCTTATGTGAAGATTATTCTTTAGCCCTGCGACGGCCACAACTTTTTCGGTCTGGTTGACAGAATCACCCGAGGAGCCTGGGCAGGAGGCTGGGAACAAGGAACTTGTGTTTCACTCCGTGCTGCCTGTTCTTCCTCCCCTCGTTCCCTTAGCACCAGTGCGAGCACCAGAACAGGCATCAGCATTTTTCCTCCTGTGTCATCCCACTGTTCCGAGCAGGTCTAGACGACATTGTGGTATGCAGGCTGCCAGCTGGGTTACAGGAATGCTACCCTAGGTGAAACGGCAGGATTTTTAAGGAGGGGTAAGGAAATCTGGGAGAAAATCCTGTGTGAATGAGGCCTGGTTTTCTCTAGAGCTGCTTCACTGAGCAGTGTCAAACAACTCCGTGGGTTTATTGACCTTTCTGGACAACGTGCATCTCTCTAGCATTGTGTTTCTGATAATTCCATAAAATCTGTAGCTGCTGTCAGATGCAGGGAGCTTATTTTTAAGGCAGTTTCTGTGTTGGTCTTACTGGTCTCTTACAAAGGGATATTAAAAGTTGGTAGCTGTGCAGTGTTTTGAAAACTAAATTATCATAAAGTGTTTACTTTATAGTGATAATCCATAGGTTCATGGGAGTGTTTGGTGTGTTTTTTCATTGCTGTCTGGATTTGGGAAAAGAGTGGGGCTCTGACATTCATTTTTAATACCAATCTACTTTTTAATAAAATGCGTTTTTATTAAGCATGACTGTCAAAAATTGTTCTGTTGTTAACTTTTGGGACTGCTCTTTTTGTGTTGTGTGTCAGTGGGGCAGGGGTGAAATTTGGGTCTTTGGGTGGAGAATTGGGAGTTTCAATGAAACTGAACCATGAGAAAGGAGGAAGCTGTACTGTTCCTTATACCAAGGGATCTGGGAAGGTGTTTGGTTGTATATGGTAGAAAACAAGTGAATTTTCAGGAAACAACAGCACATTTTAATCTAAAGAAAGCAACCTGTACTTCACAGTGATTTCTGTGCAGAGCTTTTAAGGACATTACAGAATGACAGGCTACAGTATTGGCATTCGTAGCAAATCATTTTCATCTGCAAAGTTTTAGATTTTGAAATCAAAATACTGTCAGCTTAAGGATCTTATTGCAGAAAAGCAGATGCCTTTGTTCCTCCTGTCGATAACTTCATGCAGCTTTGATTCTAAAGTCCCTGAAGTTTATTTCACGTTATGCTGATTTTAACAGAGTGGGATTGGATTCTGCATACATGTCCTCGTGGGATTGGGCTTTAATTATACCTGTGCTGATAATATGATCTTGTGGGTTATCAATGCAGTGAGACCAATACTGTGATTACAGCAGGATTTTTAGGACATAATGAGGAGAATTTGAATTTTTTTTTTTTTTGAGGAGGGGGGTCAGTGTAACTCGTAACCCTAAAGCTGGTTTTATTTGTAAGATTAGTAATAAATGTATTTTAGCATTCCTGTATTGACTAAAGCTCCCTTCTGGCTCCTGTTAAATTAGGATGGCTGGGTAGCAAAGTGTACCAAGAGTTTGTATCTGAACACTCAGTCATGCAAACGGGTTGGATGGAAGCTGTGAATGCAATTCCCAGGGTTAATGCTAAAGATAAGTGTTTTGACAAATGCTTTTAATTTGGGGAACAATACAAGCAAGAATGACAGGATATGAAAAGAAAATGCTATTTTCTGTCTCGCAGGTGGCAAACAAAGGTGTAGAGGGATCAGCTTGCCCAGGTTCCTACAGGGAGTCTGCAGCAGAACTCGCAATCAGTCTGTGATCTCAAGGGTTTGTCAGGGCTTTAATCAGTTTTTCTTCCTCCCCTCATTAATTGGCTAGCTTTGACATTTTGAAAATAACATCTAGAGATTATTTCTCTTTTCTCCAGTTTCAAACTTTATCGCCTGAAGTTTTTTTTTGTTTGTTTTTTTTTTTTCATTTTCTGTCAAGCCTTGAAAACACAAGGCTGGAAAACTTGATCTGAGCAGCACCTCCCTGACATATGATACTATCTCCAAACAGCCCCTGACAAGTGAACCCTCTCATTGAAATCATGTGAGGAATTTTATTACTCAACTCTGAAGATCTTCTGGGGGAAAGGAGGTTGCAAACTATTAACTCTGTGGTCTTCACTGCAAGTTGGCAGATAAAATGCTCTTACGTATTTGAGGCTGTCATGTGGTCCCAGCCAGAAGTAGAGAATCAGCTTTGTAGTCGCTGACCAACTGAAAATTTCATCTTGTCACTGTGAGGAACACATTTATTTTTGTGTTGTGCCTGCAGATTTCAAGTGAATACATCCCTTTCTTTAAACATGCTCCTGATTATATCCTTCCCCTCTTAACTGGGCGCTTACACAGCGTTATCCTGTGCTCATGTGAGCACGTGGAGAAGCTTTTATCCTTGATAACCATACAAAGTCTCTTGGGTTTGGGCAGCTCCTGTTTTTTGCTGTTGCACTTGGGTTCAGCAGAGGTTTGTTGCTGGTGCAGGCTGCCTGTGTGACACCGCCGAGCTCAGGGCTCGTGCCACAGTCCCAGAGCCACTGCTGTGACAATGACAGCGTTGTAAAGCCCGACCTAATCAGGGCTCATCGATTCATGGCCAGAGCAACACGGCTCCAGTGGCTCCCACTCAGCTGAACCACTGCCCTCCTTTGCTGCTCCATGTCACAGCAATACTTTGTGCCTCTGTTGGTAAATCTCTAGAAGTGCTTGACAGAAATATTGGTGTTTTACAAATGGAGAAACTCAGGCACGAGGGCCGAGTGA